CAACAGCAGCAGCAGCAGTAACGGCAGCAGCACCCCCACCAGCAGCAGTAACAGCACAACCACCAGCAGCAGCAGCAGCAGCAGCAGTAACGGCAGCAGCACCCCCACCAGCAGCAGTAACAGTGAGAGCTCCATTAAATAGCTGCCGCTATTAGTGCATTGATTTGTCTGATAAACGCGTGCGGTTGATGTTTCATTGCTGAGGTCAGGCAAACAGCAGTTACGGGGGTATGGCAGCGCACGCACACCTGAGCAAACCCTGCTCTGTTTGCTCACACACCTGCGTGCGTGCGTGCGTGTGTCTATGTCATGATGTGTGCGTGTATTGTCCCACTGTGCTCTAGATAGTGCGCGGCCGTACAGCTGTACAGTGTTGGTAGAGCCATGTAAGCAGGTAGTGACCAGGACGCTTACCTAGGTTACTGGGCCAGCTAACAGTCAAGTGTTTGTGCGTGCATGCGTGCGTGTGTGCGTGTCAGTGTGAGACTGATAACCTTTGAGTAGCACAGGTGGATTTTTATGGATTTTGACTATAGGTTATATCGGGAGGGAATAAATACAGAGGTTTGTGTTTAAATTTGTTTTAACAAAAAAAATGGTTTCTATTCGCTCCTGGTTACATAGTAGAAATCTAAATCTTGGAAATGGGGAATGGCTTAAAATCGGGTTCCATGAGACTTAATTCCCATGAGACGCAGTATCTGCGTCGCTGGCAGACCGACCGTGCCGATCAGAAACCTTAGTATCACCAAGTAGTCGGCTGTGAGCTTAGCGATGGCTCGTGGGGAGGGACGCATGCACACACGCACATGTACGTACCCGCTCGTACACACGCTCGCGCATGCACGAAGGCACGCACGCACACGCATGCACGAAGGCACACACGCACGCATACGCATGGACGAAGGCATGCACGCACGCACTCATGCACGCACGCACCCATGCATACACGCACGCATGCGTGCACTCATGCACACACGCACGCACGCACCCATGCACACACGCACGCACTCATGCACACACGCATGCACGCACCCATGCACGCACACGCTAGCGCGCATCCATGCACACACGCACGCACGCACCCATGCACGCACGCACGCGCGCATCCATGCGCACACGCACGCGCGCATCCATGCGCACACGCACGCGTGCATCCATGCACGCACGCACGCACTCATGCACACACGCACACGCCCACTCGCTTCCTTTCCGAGGTGTGATGTATGTTTGCACGTTGTCAGCTTTAGCGGCCCCCTGCGTACTTAACCTCATTTCTTTCTTTCTTTCTCGCTCACAGAAAGCACCGGGGCGATATATAACGCTGCGAGATAGAGCCAACGCCTTGCGTCCACGCCCGCTCCCATGCCGCCAAAGAGAGAGGATGGCAGGAAGGAAGATTTACTGTAGGCAGTGACACGGACGCCCCCTGGCGGCACTCTATCACCCCAACGACGTCTCGTTGGACAGAAGACAGACCCATCTCTCTCCCCTGCCGCAGCATGAACTGAGCGGCCCCCCCTGGTGAGCGCAGCAGGAGCGATACCGGGATGCTTGCCGCGGAGAGAGAGACGGCACCGGTGACGACGGCTGCGGCGGACGGCGGCGCCCCCTGCGGGGACGTCGCGGAAATTCCGAGCGCGGACGACTACGACGTCGGCGCGGCGAAGGAGCGAGCCGCGATCCTGTGGCTGCTGGGGAAGGCTTACGACGGGAAGATTCCCGGGGAGCTGGGCGCGACGCCGCACTACCGCGACGACGGCGGGCAGCGCCACCTACGGCCGGCCGTCGTAAACGCGCTGGCGACGGGAGACGCGTACGCGCGCGCCGCCGCCGCCGTGTTCGGGAACCCGGAGTTTGAGAACCAGCGCTTCTCCTTTCTGCTGCAGTTCCTGTCGCGGCGCGGCGAGCGCGTGTGTGTTGCCGACGGCGACAACGGCGGCGGCGGAGGAGGGGAGGTGACGGAGGCTCAGCTTGTGCAGACGTCTCCACTGCGCGTCGCCGCTCACGTCGCCACCGTCGACGCCCTCATCGCCGTGCACGCGCGCGAGGTCGCGACCCCTACCCGCGTCGCACACGCCGTCGCGCACCTCGGTGGCGCCCCCTGCGGTGACAGCGACGGCGGGGAGGCGGGGCTCGCGGCGTGGGTGAACGCGGCGTGGGGGGCGTTTGCGACGCGGCGGGCTGTGGCCGGGCGGCCCGTGGCGGCCCTCCCCACCGCGCGGTCCCCGCTCGCGCCCGCCCTTGCTGACGGTCGCCGCCTCGCCGCTCTCCTCTCCGTCTACTGTCCCGACGACGTCTCCCCCGACGACGTCGTCACCACGACGACGAGCATCGCCGACTCGCTGCGCAACGTGGAGATCGCGAGGCGGTTCTGCGCGCGCTGGCTGCCCGCCGGCGCCCCCTGGCTGCGGGCGGAGGATGTGGTTTACGCGGCGCCGGCGCTGCGGCGGAACGCGCTCGCAATGGTCGCCGAGATATTCGACGCGACGGTCGTGCGTCCGCGCGAGTGCGTGCCGTGAACGCACGCCCGCTGGCCCCCCACCGCCGAGGCCGCCCGCCCCCAGCTCGTCGTCGATCCACCTCCTCTTCCGCGACAGGATGCACCGCCCGAATGCAGGTGGCCGCCGGCGCCGCGTCCCGCAGCAGAATGCGAGGGCTCGCGAGCGCGACGTCCGGGAGGTCGCGTGAGGTCGCCCGGTGAGGAGATGGAACTAAGAGAGCGTGTCGTCCACCCCGCGTCCGTTGCCACCGGCGACGACGTGCTGCCCCCGTGCGTCCGCGCGACAGGGCCGGCCGGGGAGCGGACGGTGGTCACCTGCCCCAGGATCCCGGCAGCCAGCAGAACGGGTTGTCGGCAGCCCCGGTTGCCCACGACGACTGGGAGGATGAGGAGCGCGGGCCGGCCACCGGTCGCTCTCTTGTTGGTCAGAGCTTCAACGCTTCCCACAGCGCGGCGGCGCCACGGTCGGCGGCGGAGGCGCGCGCCGCCGGCATCCCCGTGTTCTGACGACCGCCCTGTTCGGCTCTTCCTCAGCGCCTCCGCACCGGGCACAGGCAGCGAGGCCTCCCGCAGCATCGCTCTACGGCATCCCCATCAGCAGGGCTTCGCGCTTCACCCACCCGAATGCGCGGCCGATTGCAGGCCAGCAGCACAGCAGCATGCAGACGAGCTTCTCGCAAGCTTCCAAGATACGCGGCGGCGGTGGGCAGCAACAACGGCGAGGTTGCGACCGAGTGCGCACGACGTGGCGGGCGCCCGCGGCAGCGGCGGCTCCCCCTGCCGCGAGAAGGAACGTCGCCGGTCGACGACGCGGAAGCGGGCGACGTTCGCACGCACTGTCCAACCCAGACGAACGTGGGGCGCGGCGAGCCGCAGCGTCGCCGCGGATCGACGATGACGCAGTTGCGGCCGGCGAAAGGAGGAGGGGATCTAGCGAGTCGTGCGAGCACCCTCTGAGCGCAGAGCTCCACGAATCTTCGCCTGCGGCTGGAGGAGAACGCAACAATGGAGGTGCATCCCGTAAACGCATGGAGGTGTCGCCTGAGCCCGAGCAGCAAACCAAAAAAAATGGCAATGCAGGCGTTCCTGACAGTGAGTGTGTACTCGCAATACTGTCACTCTGTAGTATCCGTGTAACATAGTATTGTTACTCGGCGTTGGGGCAATGGGGCACATGCTTTAATAGTCAGGCAGCTAGACCCAATTTGGCGTACATAATGGTGGAGCGTTCCGGACAACACAGCACCCAAATTTTTTCCACTTTTACACATGGCCCTAGCGCAATCGATTTTTGAAAGGAATCCACTTCCTCCCGAGTACCTTATGGCGGCCATCTGGATTCCAACATGGCGGACATGTACATGAAACTAGAAGTGCCGATATCTCTCGGCTTTCAACCCAGCTACGCACCCTCTCAATATCGGTGTCTAAACCACACATTTTCTGGGTCAAGGAAATACAGCATAATCGCAATTACAATACTCGATATGGCGGCCATCTTGGATTTTCCAACATGGCGATATGTATAAACTAGAAGTGCCGAATATCCTCGGCCCTTCCAACCAGCTAGACTCTCCTTTGGTGTCTACAGCATACATTTTCTGGTCAATCGATACATATAATGCCCAATTCGAATACCAATAATGGCGGCCATCTTGGCTTTCCAACATGGCCGGGCCATGTGCAACCTATAAGCCAATATCCTCAGCTCCAAACTCACTAGACTCTCAATATTCGTGTCCTACACATATGTATACTAATGCCAATTACGAACATCACCCGGGCAACTGTTTTATGTCTTTGCAGTCTGATAACCAATCACAGGCCTTCATGCAGGCATTTGCCAAGCCTAACCCGACCAGGCTGTACCGTGTGACTAACGTCAATATACCCCATTAAATTATATAATACAAAAAGACCCAACCCCAAACGATGGGCACACTTGCAGCGGCACAAGAAAGAGAAGAGTTCCTGGCTGAAGCATGCTAGTAAAATACTTGAGAAAGACAAAGGAGAAGGGTGACCACATTTAAGGCTCGGTCAGCTTTCCCATGCCAGTAAGACAAGGGTCGCCATCATTTGACAGTCCCTCCCACCTGACACCGCTCTTGCCCACTCTCTATGAGAAGGCGGCTTACATCTCTAGCTATGATTCAAGCACTGGTTAAGATGTGGCCCCATCAGCAACACAATTCCTCAATCCGGACAGACACCAAGCAGCATTTAATGAACCACTATATGCACTGCCAAGTTCACTTCAGTGGAACTGGTCTGCATACAACAGTGGGCAGGACAAATTTGTTATCACATGATTAGCCGGTCTGACATATAGAGAAAGGCAATGTGGAGATACTATGGTGACCGACTTGGAGGGTTCCTGGTTGGACCACATAATCGCGTTGACACAAGCAGGTGTGCACTCATCAGGCAACTTCCAACTTTTTTCTGAAAGCCACACATCATCACCAGCGAACAAGACATGCCCCCAAGTACTGCACTTGCTCTCGGCAAAGCACAGCAAGATGCATTCCTTGGACACAGTTGGGCCCACCACAAGTGATCAAGCCAGGAGGCATGGCGGTTGGTAATGGTCGAGAAGAGTCCCTAACATTTCAGTCTTGGGATACCAGTTCTAAACATGGCACTTAATGGCCTCATCTTTATCAGATCACACGCCGCGAGAAACCTTTCCGTTGTAACGTGAAAGCCTGAAGGCATTGGTTCCATGGCTCTGTGTTAGACCACCACACAACTAGCACGGTGGCTGCCGGATATATCCATTTTGCGATATGGATACTCTACAAGCCCCCAATTTCTCACCCGCGTTTTAAAGAAACATGGTCCCTGGTCCATCAAAAATTCAGCAACAGGTTCCGCCAATCGATCAGGCCCATGAACCAGACCAATGAAGGTCAAGGGATCTGGGGGTCAGTTGGTCCCGATGAAAAATCCTTTTCTGCCTTCAGGAAAGCCATGGTGTCCGGGACCGTGACAAGCGACGATTGGCTCGACAGAATTTAAAAGATGAATATCTGTCCAATGAAGAAATCGAGCACAATCATCATCATGAGAAGGATTGGTACCACACCGACGACGTTCAGCAGGGAAGAGGCTGTATGATCCTTCTAATGTCATCAGTGCCCATTTGGTAACCATTGTCGCCGACAAAGCCGATGATTATTGGCTCTAGACACGGCGTAATGTGTGGATTGAGTCTGTTGTGAAACCGTCCAACAGGTCAGGGATTAGGGTAAAAATCCGTATGAAAAATACTTGCAAAGAAGTTGACAATCGATCTGTACACTCTCCCATTCATTGGCCATAAGCAAAACGCTCTTCCTCTTTCCGGTGCCCACAGAGAAAATCACCAGACAAAAACAAGCTGGGACGATCCTCAATTACTGAAGAACGATGTTCCCTGTTCTCGTCGCTTGTACATCATAATGCCGCACCAGAGAGAGTGACATGAGTTGTATCTTCAAAACCACGCGAACCATGCATTCCCCCCTTCAACTGTCCTGCATGGTAGGGAAGTTACCGTCTAGAAAAGAAATCAGATCTGCTGAACATTTTGACCCTGGATAATCAGGGTGATCCTCCGGAGTCCTTCGTGTGCAAGCTTCCTCAATGTGCTGCTCGGTGGGCACTTCTTCCCTGTGCCGGCAGTGCACCATTTTGAAGGTTATCGCTAACGGTGTTTTTGTTCCCTACTGATGACCATTAGAACATGCCAAACAGAGTTGATATAGTATGAGACCGTTATCATGCCAGCAGCAATTAAGGACATCCACGAGAGAAAAACGCAGACAAGGGCATTCGCCGAAAGGGTTGCTGGTAAGAAGCACGCTCCGCAGGAATGGGCCTAAAATTCCTACGTTGATGCACCAAAACAAACAGGAACTCTTTGCATTCCTCTCCAACAAGATGCTACCTTGGACTGCCCCCCAAACAAGGAAGGTCGTCATAACATCCTGGATCAATGACCATTCTTTGAGGACCACTCGTCGATCCACATGTGACCATGAGGGAAGCCCCGACACCCAAACTGCAATTCATATGCAAGATGCCATACCTGGAATGGTGTGACAACTGTCCTGGACGTACTGTTTGACACTGATGCCGTCCACATCATTGGCAAGTTTTCACACATCTGATTCGAATTGGACTCCAGCTGTGACGTTTGGTTGCTTTTGCAGGCAAAACTTACCTATCACAACATCATATGGGATATATGGTTTCTGGGAAAAGAAATCCCTGGCCGCTTGTCTCTTTTCCACAGCTCACAGAATGCGAACACCACCCTCCCGCGCGTTTAGGAAAGGTAAGTCACATGGGAAGCATGGGAAGTGCTACCCTCATGTAACTAATCTTCCGTACATGGGCGTCCAATCGAAGTAATGCAGAGCACCACACTTCAATCTGATTGGAACGCTTTCTACAGTTATTGTTGTATGATAACCATTGTCTTCGTGTGTCAACGGAAAGCATGGTACTGTCAGAAGGAAACGACAAGGGAGAACCATTCCACCAGCAGGATGCATTGCTGCAGCATTCGACCGCGGGTTGCCAGGCCCGGCTGAGACTGGTCCACCCGTCTGCAGACCCACCCAACATGCTTCCAAGCCTGCTGATTGGCTGGACTCTTACAAAGATAGACCAAATCCATGGTCCAGTTGGCATCACTTACACTGGCTTCCCAAACAGCCTGCCGACTCGTTGCGTGTGGTTTGCAAGAGCCTCAGGGGCTGTGGCACTAAATGTGCATGCAACCCGACGCCATTGGAAATCACTAAACTAGTATTGTCGATGCAGAGTAGGCAACTGAAGTGTTGTCATGGGCGCTTCCATAACTCTGTCATTATGACGCCATATTGAATATTTTAAATTGCATTCATTGTATTCCTTGACCCAGAAAATGTATGTTATACCCACCAATATTGAGAGTCCTCGCTGGTTGCGAAGCCGAGATATCGGCACTCTAGTTTGCACATGTTCCCGCCATGTTGGAATATCTAAGAGCCGCCCATATTGAACTATTCTAAATCTGCATTATTGTATTCCTTGACCCAGAAAATGTATGTTAAGACACAATGATTGAGAGTCAGCTGGTTTGGAAGCCGAGATATCGCACTTCTAGTTTTGTACACCTGTCCCGCCATGGTGGACAATAACCAAGATGGCCGCCAATATTAAATATTTAAATTGCATTATTGTATTCCTTCGACCCCGAAAATTCTATTAGACACCAATATGAGCTAGCTGGTTTGGACGCCGATATTCGGCAACTTTCTAGGTTTGTACATGCCCCTCATCTGGAAATCCAAGATGGCCGCCATACCTGTACTCGGAGGAAGTGGTTCCTATCAAAAATCTATTGCTAGGCCCATGTGCAACATGTGAAAAAAATCTGGTGCTTTTGTCCGGAACGTCCACATTATTTGGTTAAGCTGCCGGACTATACTGTGAGAGTGCAACTATGATGATTGCAGTGTCAAATGACCCTCGAGTGTAGTATGCGGTGTGTACGCCGTAGTCATTGTTACTGCGTTGACTTCCCATTGTTCATTGTGAGAGTGCAATGATGGTGAGAGTAACAGTGCCATGTCAGATTACTCAAAAAAGTTTTTGGAAAAAAATAAGCTTGACGTACTTACACTTGCATAGCGAATGAACATTTGACATCGGTCGTACTTGATAGTGATGATCACCCTAACGTAATCAATAACCAATCAATAACTGTAATCACTGCCGATCGTCCTGCGATTGAGAAGGGGATTGTTAACGTAATTGATCACCGATCAACATGTATTTTTTATTTATCGATTATCAGGTGATCAAGGGGAAGGCTACGGACAGCAAGGATGTTAGCACGACAATAAAGGAGGAGAAGGAGACGGAGGCGACCTCGCCCCTCGACAGGAGCGCCACCTTCCGCGTCAGCAGGGAGAAGCTGAACGAGGGAGGAACGACGAAGGAGAAGGAGGAGAAGGAGGAACCCGCGGCCACAAAGTCTTCCCACAAACTCGCAGACATTAACTCTGCTACCTTCAGGTGCGCCGCTCGAACATTTACTGCGACAAGTACAGTGTTCGAAATAAGGGCCATTAACCGTTTGTCCTCGCTTGTCCATTTCCACGGAGGACACGTAGACATGTCCAGTAGCTTGTCTGCTGGACAAGCAGCTTTTTAGAGCAATTTTTCATCATTTTCTTTGTTAAGAAAAGTAATATCTTAAAATAAATAATTGTGCTTCTTTATGTTCTTTCAAGTTTGGTGCCTAATTTGAACTGTTAGCAAACTATATCAAAATTACAAAGTAGGATATTGGGTTTAAAATGTAATTTGAATAAATGTATTACACATTTACTATATTTCTATGTTATTAATCAGGGCAAGCAAAAATTTTGCAGCACAAGCAAAAATATCTTGTAGCTTGTCCGTCGGATAAGCACAATTTTTTCCTTATTTCGAACACTACCAGTAGTACTACGACGTATGTGAGAGCCGTGAGAGTCGATGCTTATTGTATCGTCTAGGTTCCATGAATGTATCTAGGGAAAAGTACATGTTCTGAAGCTGAAGCTTGTTGTGAATGGCCTCTAGAATGGGTGGACATGGAGGAAGGGACAGAGAGGAAGAGTGAGAGCAAGAGAGAGGGGTGGAGAGAAAGAAAGAAAGAGCGTGTGTGAGAGAGGGAAATAGAGAGTGGGAGAGGAAGAGAGAAAGAGAGAGAGAGAGAGTGTGTGAGAGAGAGAGAGTGTGAGAGAGAAAGAGAGATTGTGTGTAAGAGAGAGAGAAGAGAGAGAGAGGCGAGAGAGAGAGAGAGAGAGAGAGGGAGAGACAGAGAGCGAGCGAGAGAGAGAGTGAGAAAAGAGAGAGAGAGAGAGAGAGAGAGAGAGGAGAGAGAGAAGAGGAGAGAGAGATGAGAGAGAGAGAGAGACGAGAGAGTGTGAGAGAGAGAGAGAGAGTGTGAGAGAGAAAGAGAGATTAGTTGTAAGAGAGCGAGAGAGAGAGAGAGAGCGAGAGAGAGAGAGAGAGAGAGAGAGAGAGAGGAGAGAGAGAGAGAGAGAGAGAGAGAGAGAGAGAGAGAGAGAGATGGGAGGGAGGGAGGGGAGGAGGGAGGGAGGGAAGGGAGGGAGGGAGGTGAGGGAGGGAGGAGGGAAGGGAGGGGAGGAGGAGGGAGGGGGGAGGAGGGAGAGAGAAGAGAGAGAGAGCAGAGGAGAGAGAGAAGAGAGAGAGGAGAGAGAGAGAGAGAGAGAGAGAGATGAGAGAGAGAGAGAGAGAGAGCGAGAAGAGAAGAGAGAGAGAGAGAGCAGCAGAGAGAGAGAGAGAGAGAGAGAGAGAGAGAGAGAAAGAGAGAGAGAGAAGAGAAGAAGAGAGAGGAGAGAGAGAAAGAAGAAGAGAGAGAGGATGAGGAGACAGGAGAAAAAGAGAGAGAGGAGAAGAGAGAGGAGAGAGAGGAGAGATAGTGTGAGAGATAGTGTGGAGAGAGAGAGGAGAGAGAGAAGAGATAGTTGTGAGAAGAGAGGGAAAGGTAGAATGTATGAAGCACCAGCGAATCCTGTTGCTTTGTGTGGACTCCACATCGTAGCTAAACGCAAGATGCTCCTCTCCCTCTTCTCCTCTCGTTTCTTCTCGAGCAGGGTTGGAGAAATACCCAAG